TATATAAACATTTACATATTCACATATTTCCAATAGAAATAGCTGATAAAGGAAAAATTCGTAACCCAGTGTCTAGCCTACTTTTGATGTTAATTGCAGGCTCAACAAAAATAAGGAAAACTACTAATAAAAAAATTCCTCTCTATACTATCTTTTGATTGTAAGTAGCTTCTGTCATAGTTTGGTAAAATTCCAGGATAGTTTATGAATCTAATAAATGTTTTAAAAACTTAAACTGCAGACTGTATGTAATGTTAACTGGAAGAAAAACTAAGTCTATTTATAAGTAAAATACGGAAACAATGGAACAAAATTTCCTTCTAGATACTAGCTTTTAATCATGAACAAGCTTCTGTCCAAGTTTTGTACAAATCCAGGATAGTTTAAGTTGTTAACATTTTAAAAACTTTAACCACAGAGTGAATGTAATGTTTCCTGGCAGAAAAACTAAGTCCATATATAAGTAAAATACGGAAAAAATTGATTTTTTTTTTACAAAATTTACTTCTGGATACTATCTTATGACCATAAACAAGCTTCTGTCCAAGTTTGGTAGAAATCCAGGATATTTTTAGAGAGAAAGTTATTAAAATTTCAAAAACTTTAACCACAGAGTGAATATTTGTGGACGCCGCCGCCGCCGCAGACGGAATATAGGATTGCTATGTCTCGCTTTTTTGACAAAAGTCGAAGGCTCGACAATAAAGGAATAATTAAAAGAAAATGAGTAACTGTATAAAAATTGATATTGGTGATGAAATGAAATGATATATTATGTAGAACTAACAATAAATAATGCCATTTAAATTTTAGTTATGAACACCATATGTAGCTACAGTTAAATACTAAGTTCATGTCGTTGCAGTTTTTTTTTCAAAATCAGATTGATGAAGAGACATTTTTTATTTACAAAAAAAACTACATATTAAGTAAATACTATATACAACAACCGCTGACAAATAATTCAGAAACACTTTCAGGTCAAGATTCGGTCTCTGAATTAGGTATTTCATATGTGCATACTTTATTATTCATTTGACTGAAGATTCAGACCTGAATTGACTAATAAGGTAAAATTTAACAGCTTAAAGAGATAGACACACTAAATTATTACTGCTATGAAATTGCTCATAATCTAATTTTATATCTATGTAGGTTAATAAAGTTTATCAAAATAGTACATATAGTATATAATAAATAATAATAATAATAAATTCTTTATTTAAAGAGTTTAACTCAGTTAGTTACGATAAACTTATCTTCCCTGAGTCCCTCACATACAAATTACAATACAATCAAAAACAGATATTTACACATAGTTAATTTACAGTCAATTAGTTCAATGTAATATTAAAAAGGCTGTTCAAGATGCACAGGTAGTCAAAAAATCAAATAAAAATAACTAATGGCTCTCAAGAGCCTGTGTCGCTCACCTGTATTTACTGATGCTTTGGAAATCATGTAAAATAAGGTTAAAATCATTATTAATAGTATTAGATATTAGATACTATAATGATATCTAAGATAATAACAAAAAACTGCAAAATTTCTGTAAAATTACTAACTCAAGGGCAGCAACCCAACAACAGGTTGTCAGATTCGTCAGAAAATTTCAGGGCAGATAAATCTAAATCTGATGATCTTTTTGGCCACCTGTCAGATTTGATTTAAATGCTTCAGTTCAGAGATATAAACCAAAAACTGCATTTTATCCCTATGTTCTATTTTTAACCAAGTCGGCCATGATGGTTGGAAGCCGGGGTCATCGGAAATTTTTTTTAAAACTAGATACCCTAATAATGATTATGGCCAGGTATGGTTAAATTTGTTTCAGAAGTTTCAGAGAAGAAGATTTTTGTAGAAGATTACAAAAATTTACGAAAAATTGTTAAAAATTGACTATAAAGGGCAACAACTCCCAAAGGGGTCGACTGACAATTTTAGTCATAACGACTTATTTGTAGACCTTACTTTGCTGAACATTATTGCTGTTTACAGTTTATTTCTATCTATAATAATATTCAAGATAATATCCAATAAAATGCTTCGCTGGGCGCAGCTTGATACGACAGCAGAGGTCGAACCCTGAACAGTTGGGGCAAGTATGGACACAACATTCAAGCTTGATACAGCTCTGAATTTGGATTGTGATTAAATATTTGACACAGCATAGGTTTCTGACACAGAAAGAATGTGGTCTAAGAACTTCAATTTTTTTAATTTACCTATTATGGTCCAATGTCCAAAATCAAAATACATGGTTAGATTCAGCATATCAAAGAACCCCATATATTCAATTTTTGTTGAAATCAAACAAAGTTTAATTTTGGACCCCAACTTGGACAACCTTGAAAACTGGTCCCATAATCAAAAATCTAAACACATGTTTAGATTCAGCATATCAAAGAACCCCAAGAATTCAATTTTTGTTAAAATCAAACTAAGTTTAATTTTGGACCCTTTGGACCTTAATGTAGACCAATTTAAAAAACGGGACCCAAAATTAAAAATCTAAAAACACTGTTAGATTTGGCATATCAAAGAACCCCAATAATTCAATTTTTGATGAAATCAAACAAAGTTTAATTTTGGACCCTTTTGACCTCAATATGAACCAATTTGATAGCGGGCCCACAAAATAAAAAATCTAAATACATGGTAAGATTCAGCATATCAAAGAACCCCATATATTCAATTTTTGTTGAAATCAAACAAAGTTTAATTTTGGACCCCAATTTGGACCAACTTGAAAACTGGGCCAAAAATCTAAAATCTAAATACATGTTTAGATTCAGCATATCAAAGAACCCCATATATTCAATTTTTGTTGAAATCAAACAAAGTTTAATTTTGGACCCCAACTTGGACAAACTTGAAAACTGGTCCCATAATCAAAAATCTAAACACATGTTTAGATTCAGCATATCAAAGAACCCCAAGAATTCATTTTTTGTTAAAATCAAACTAAGTTTAATTTTGGACCCTTTGGACCTTAATGTAGACCAATTTAAAAAACGGGACCCAAAATTACAAATCTAAATACACGGTTAGATTTGGCATATCAAAGAACCCTAATGATTAAATTTTTGATGAAATCAAACAAAGTTTAATTTTGGACCCTTTTGACCTCAATATGAACCAATTTGATAGCGGGTCCACAAATAAAAAATCTAAATACATGGTAAGATTCAGCATATCAAAGAACCCCATATATTCAATTTTTGTTGAAATCAAACAAAGTTTAATTTTGGACCCCAATTTGGACCAACTTGAAAACTGGGCCAAAAATCTAAAATCTAAATACATGTTTAGATTCAGCATATCAAAGAACCCCATATATTCAATTTTTGATGAAATCAAACAAAGTTTAATTTTGGACCCTTTTGACCTCAATATGAACCAATTTGATAGCGGGTCCACAAATAAAAAATCTAAATACATGGCTAGATTCAGCATATCAAAGAACCCCAAGAATTCAATTTTTGATGTAATCAAACAAAGTTTAATTTTGGACCCTTTTGACCTCAATGTGGACAAAGTTGATAACGGGGCCCAAAAATCAAAAATCTAAATACATGGTTAGATACAGCATATCAAAGAACCCATATATTCAATTTTTGTTGAAATCAAACAAAGTTTAATTTTGGACCTCGATTTGGACCAACTTGAAAACTGGGCCCATAATCAAAAATCTAAACACATGTTTAGATTCAGCATATCAAAGAACCCTAAAAATTCAATTTTTGTTAAAATCAAACTAAGTTTAATTTTGGACCCTTTTGACCTTAATGTAGACCAATTTGAAAACGGAACCAAAAATTAAGAATCTAAATACACGGTTAGATTCGGCATATCAAAGAACCCCAATAATTCAATTTTTGATGAAATCAAACAAAGTTAAATTTGGACCCTTTGGACCTCAATGTGGACCAATTTAAAAACGGGGCCCAAAATCCAAAAACTTAATACACAGTTAGATTCAGCATATTAAAGAACCCCAAGAATTCAAGAATAAAACCCCATTGAAATTGATCAAGAAATAAGCAATTTATACGAAGTATCTTCTTTTGCACAATACTGTGCAATTGAATATTTCTTGCTATTGTGCAATACTGTACAATTGACAATTTTTTTGCTATTGCGCAATATTGTGCTATTGGATATTTCTTGCTATTGCGCAATACTGTGCAATTGAAGATTTCTTGCTATTGCGCAATACTGTGCAATTGAAGATTTCTTGCAATTGTGCAATACTGTGCAATTGAAAATTTCTTGCTATTGCACAATACTTATTATATAATAATTTACACATCCTGATTGGTGTGTATCTCCTACCATATCATTATTATTTGCTTTTAAATATTAATCAGAAATAACCAACTTAAAATGGAAAATTTTAAAAGAAAAAAAAAAGGAAAAAAAGAAAAAAAAAAAATCCCCCCCCAAAATTTTTGGAACCCCCTTATGATTCATCACCCCCAAACTCAATCCCAGCCTTCCCTTTGTGGTATGGTACCTTGCAGTACAATTTCAGAGAGATCCATACACTTGAACACAAGTTATTGTCTGGAAACTAGAAAAATGCTTATTTTTGGCCCCTTTTTGGCCCCCTATTCCTAAACGTTTCGGGCAATTACCCCCAAACTCAATTCCAGCTTTCCCTTTGTGAGATGGAACCTTGTAGTACAATTTCAGAAATATCCAAACACTTACACACAAGTTATTGTCATGAAACTAGAAAAATGCTTGTTTTTTGCCCCTTTTTTGGCCCCTAATTCCTAAAATTTTGAGGCAATTACCCCCAAAATCAATTACAGCCTTCCCTTTGTGATATGGAACCTTGTGGTACAATGTCAGAGAGATCCATACACTTACACACAAGTTATTGTATGGAAGTTACAAAAATGCTTATTTTTGGCCCCTTTTTGGCCCCTTATTCCTTAATTGTTGGTACCATAACCCCAAAAATCAATCCCAATCTTCCTTTCTAGGTATTGAACCTTATGGTAAAATTTCATGGAGATCCATTCACTTAAACTAAAGTTAGAGTGCGAAAACCAATGTGTCTTCGAACGACGCCGGACGACGCCAGACGACGACGACGCCAACGTCATACCAATATACAACCAAAAAATTTTCAATTTTTGCGGTCGTATAAAAACTGCAAAATTTCCTTAAAATTACCAATTCAGGGGTAGCAACCCAACAACAGGTTGTCAGATTTGTCTGAAAATTTCAGGGCAGATAGATCTTTCAGTTTTACCCTTGTCAGATTTACTCTAAATGCTTTGGTGTCAGAGATACAAGCCAAAATCTACATTTTACCCCTATGTTCTATTTTTAGCCATGGCGGCCATCTTGGTTGGTTGGCGGGGTCATCGGACACATTTTTCAAAATAGATACCCTAATAATGATTGTGGCCAAGTTTGGTTAAATTTGGCCCAGTGGTTTCAAAGGAGAAGATTTTTGTAAAAAGCTAACGACGACGGACGACGACGGACGCCAAGTGATGAGAAAAGCTCACTTGGCCCTTCGGGCCAGGTGAGCTAAAAATAAAAGAATATACAAATACATTGTAGAAAACATAATCTTATCAGGACTGTGTTAAGTACTTCTTTCTTGATACTTTGTTTAAAAGTATAAGTGTTTTGAGCTTTACACATTTTGTGTGGTAGTCCAATCCATAACACTGATCCAGAATAAACAAAAGATTTCTTAATTACCTCAGCTTTTGGCTTAGGAACTATCAGATTACCTTGAGTGACACCTCTCAAGGAGTAAGGATTATTATCTGACTTCAGTTTAAACTTTTGAACTAGGTACATTGGTGATTCCATACGCATACCTTTATATAGAAGTAAATATTTGTGGTATTTGATTCTATTGTCAACTGTCATCCACCCAAGTTCTTTAAATAATATTACAGATAGGGAACACATATAGTATATTGTATCAAGTTATGACATTTCCTTTATAGATAGGGAACAGATATAGCATATTGTATGAAGTTATGACATTTTCTTTACAGAAAGGGAACAAATATGGATGGATACCTTTATACTAAACACATACACACTACATTCATGACAGAAAGAAGAATAATAATAGTCATATATTTGCAAAAAAATGCAATCTAGCAATTTATAATTGTCTTTATATGTACACATATTTTTTAATTGAATAACTTTAGAAGCACAGGGTGATCTCTTCCTGACATCTAAATGGTGTTATTTAATTATACAAATAAAGGTTACAAGTTTATTGATTTTTTAACTCTTCCATACATTTAAAGGTTATTCTAAAGTTAATTGATTTCTGAACACAGTTGATTTACTCACTTGCGCGCTTCTGGCAAAACAAATTATAAACTTTGTATATTTTACGAGTGTTTACAATCACCGGGTTAATGCCACTGTTGGTGGATGTTCCATTTCTGGTATCACCAGATCGGTAGTCAACACATCTGTGTTGTCTTGAAATATCATTTCTGCAAATTGTTTATGAAATTTTCTATTATAAAAAAATTCGTAAGGGTTCCGCGGAACCCAGTGTCTCGCCTACTTTTGCTGTTAATCGCAGGCTCAACAAAAATGAGGAAAAAAATTAATAAAAATATTCCTCTCTATACTATCATTTGAATGTAAGTAGCTTCTGTCCAAGTTTGGTAAAAATCCAGGATAATTTATGAATCTAATAAATGTTTTAAAAACTTAAACTGCAGACTGTATGTAATGTTGACTGGAAGAAAAACTAAGTCCATTTATAAGTAAAATACGGAAAAAATGGAACAAAATTTTATCAAAATTTCCTTCTAGATACTAGCTTTTGATCATAAACAAGCTTCTGTCCAAGTGTGGTACAAATCCAGGATAGTTTAAGAAAGTTGTTAAAATTTTAAAAACTTTAACCACAGAGTGAATGTAATGTTAACTGGCAGAAAAACTAAGTCCATTTATAAGTAAAATACGGAAAAAATGGATTTTTTTTTTTACAAAATTTACTTCTGGATACTATCTTAAGATCATAAACAAGCTTCTTTCCAAGTTTGGTAGAAATCCAGGATAGTTTAAGAAAGTTATTAAAATTTGAAAAACTTTAACCACAGAGTGAATGTAATGTTATTGGCAGAAAAACTAAGTCCATTTATAAGTAAAATACGGAAAAAATGGAATTTTTTTTTTACAAAATTTACTTTTGAATATAATCTTATGATCATAAACAAGCTTCTGTCCAAGTTTGGTAGAAATCCAGGATAGTTTAAGAAAGTTATTAAAATTTCAAAAACTTTAACCACAGAGTGAATATTTGTGGACGCCGCCGACGACGACGACGACGCCGACGGAATGTAGGATCGCTATGTCTCGCTTTTTCGACAAAAGTCGAAGGCTCGACAAAAACGCTTAGAATGCACCCAAAGGCGAAGGTGGACTTGGTAAACTGTGATTACAAGTGAATCTTTGAGCTACTGCTCACTAATGATACCCCCGCCCTGCTAAAAGTATAAGATAAACAGGAGTTGTTGATTGATGAATCTGAAAACGCATCACACGGTATAGCTGACTTATATAAGCCCTGAAACCAAATTTCAAAAATCCTTGTAATGTACTTCCTGAGAAAGTTGTGATACAAATATTCATGAGACAGACAGACGGACTGACTGATGGACTGACGGAAGGATGGACTGACGGATGGACGGACAGACAGAGGTAAAACAGGATACCCCTACTTTTTTAAAGAAGGGGTATAACTACCTTTATATCCAATAGTTCTATCAAAATACACTGACATTATTTTCTTGTCCAAAATATGTCATGAATCTTTCAAAATATTATATCTGTTTAGGTAATAACGCTCGTAAATGGGATTTCTACATATTCTAGCTTTTTCTTGCCATGATACTCACATATGAAATATGTTTTATAAAAAAAGATTGTAATCATTATTATATTGTGATACCTTCACTTTCAACATTGAAGTGACTACATCAAGGTGTATTGGATTGGCGATAACTTCTTCTATTGATTGCCTTTATCTTGTCCTGTATAGTTTCTTTTCTGAAAGAAATTACAGTTATTTTATTTAAAGCATTTTTGAAAGATTGCGATATCTCTGCTTGTAACTCCTGTCTTTTCTATGTGGTCTGCTAGATCTGCATACATCGAGTCTTCTCTTAGGGCTAAGAGAAATTCAATAAATCCCTGTTCATTTTTACGCAAAAGTATGTCAAGCAACGTCCTGTTCTTTTCCTGTGGGGTTTTACAAGATTCTATCTTCTTTCCATCATCAACCGACACTACCTCTCTTGATATTAGATGATCTACTATGCTCTCATGTTGTATACCAGTGATAACCTTGAGGTAATTCTTTTGTAGACGAACTTTATACAATGGAACATTCCAGTCTGATAAGTCTACAAAATATAAAGAGAGATATATAAGTGCTATTGACCATTCATGACTCAAGATGAAGATTTATCCAAAAAAGCCATTCGAACCACATGAAATTTAAAACGTGTTGTTTTCATTTTTTTACATCACTTGGTCAGTACCTCTGCTGGTGGATTATCAGTCCCCTAGAGTATCATCAGCTCAGAAGTCAGTACTTCGGTACTCACATGATTTATAACAAACCCTTCTAAAATTGACAATGTATAAATTTCAAAATTATGCAGAAACTAAGATTTCAACTCCCGCGGGCAAAGTTGGCCTGAGATTGATTTGACTATTTTTTTGGTCCTTTTTAGGTACATAGCTCTTTAAATTTAATGTCTCACAAATAAGCTGAATGCTTACATAGAATGTAATACCGATAGATCTTATATTTCTGTAAGCAAATTGCATATATTTTATAATTTGGATTGCAATTTTTGCGTTAAAATTATAAACACATATGATAACCGGTTGACATTTTTAAGAGAAATGGTAATCATACATATACACAATTTATATTTAATTGTTAATTTGTTTCTTATTTATTTTTTCTTACTCTGAAAAAAAAAATCATAGTTGACCAAATGGAATGTCTTTGCATTTTAAATGTTGAAGATTCATTTCTACAGTTATAATGAAAATACTGTTCATAAAGTACCTGTTAAGAATCAGACAAATATGACCTCAGATGAATTTTACTATTTAGACCCCTTTTGGTCACATAGCATTTCATTTGTTTAGATCTTTCACATTATGGACTTTTAAGTGCAATGGTCAGATACCCAATACTTACAATATCAAGAAAACAGTTCAAAGTGACCTAATGGCATTAAAACGAAGGTACGACCATCTTTTGATGTAATTTTAGACAGTTACATTGTCCAACACAAATATATGTCTTTTTTCTTGGACATTGACCGTAGACCAAGAAATTTCAAAACCAATAGGCAACTGTCACTTATTATTTATGACCACAAATCTAAGTCAGGTTAAAATTATATGTGTCATATTTAATTAATCATTGGTATACTACTTTTCAGCATACCAAATTAGATCCCTTGTATCTATGATGAGATTTTCAGGACAAATTTCAGTTTGTATTAAATAACTATGATCTCAGACAGTGGGACCTGATAATAAGTGAGGACTTATATATAATCATTTCCTTGTAATGAATCATTTTCTTTAATTTACCTAAATAGATAACCAATATATAATTCCATAAATGGGTCGAAATTTTTTACATATATTATAAGCAAGTAATGAAATATGGAGACATTTTTGTTAATAAGCAGAAGCATCATACATGATTTTTGAATTCAGTTTTGTAATTATGAGTATACCTCGTCGTGGGAAAACAAGTTACGAAAATGAATTTCTCATCGTGATATCTGATATTCAAATGTTTGAAACAATATAACATTAAAAGGAAATCAAAACAAGCTGAGGAACTGTTGCACATCTGGTAGATAATCTTTAGAATCAAATACATTATATCTATTTTGAATGAATATGTAACAAGAACGTTCGGTTGTAAAAAGTATTTAAAACTGATTTCAGTATAAAACCTTCATTGCTAGTATTTATAATAAACCCTTCAGCCATACCTTCATTTTCAGCAGATGTTGATGTTGTACTTGGACTGATTTCGTGTGAATAACATTTCAAATCATTAGCGATATCTTTGTATCCATAAATACGTAATCCATCAACAAACACACTGTAAGCAGGTTCTCTCCTTTTAATAACAATATCCAGCAATGCTTTGTTCTGGTCATCTTGTCCAGCATGTTGTTCAATGCGGCGTCTGTCATCTACTGATATCACCAAATGTGTCATCATATGGTCTAAAATTTGACTGATTTGTATATCCTGTATGATTCTGTTTTCATTTTCTCTGATTCTATCTGTTAATGATAAGATTGGTTTATTAACAAAAAAGAAGTTTATGGGATCATCAAGTAAAACAATTCTCACGATTATGTTGTTGCCCGCTAAACATATTATTGTTTATAAGAAAACTGCAATGAAATGTATTATTATTTCGTATAATTGTCAGCAAAATTTTCACTCGGTCCTTGTTGTTGTAAAAATATGGCAGCTTATTAATGGTTGTGTTTTTATGCCGAAGTTTACCGATTGTCACCTTTGTAAACAATCAACAAAGAAGCATGGATATTCAGGTAAGCACGTGTATTACATGTACAATAAGATATAGATTATTTCGATGACAGAGCGATGACAGAGCGATGTTTACGTTTGTATCCTATCTCTACCAATTTGGTTTTCCCCTTCGCACTTGCGTAATTGCAATCACCTGATGTTTACAAGAAAGGTCACGCTGAGGTAACTGCATACGGAAAACATGTCAGCGAATTGTTCCAGCCAACAATTCAGAAAAAGTAACATTCTTCAAAATTTGGACAAATTAAAGAATTTTCTCCATAAAAAGGAATAAGTACATTAGTTTTATAATGAAAACTAGCCATTTAGTTATAAAAAACATATGTATTATTTTTTTTAATTTGAAGTTTCATATGACTTTTAGATAAAAGTCGTTTTAACAAAATAAAAAATAAAAAGTACAAATGTACACGATGTTTATTTCATAATTTATACAAACTAGTAAACGCTAAAAGTAAAAGCCCGTTTACTTTCAAGTGCACGTAAAAACACACTTTTAAAATTTGTAGTCAACACCTGTTTACTTTTAAGTGCACGTAAAAATAAACTTGTGCAATCTGAAGTTAACGCCTGTTTACTGCTGACTAAACGGACACGCGTTTCCTCGGGTAGACAATAGAAATTTTGATTTTTACAGCGTTAATGTAAATATAGTAAACACAAGTTTACTATTAAACGCGAAAATAGAAGTTAACTAATGAAATATGTGCACGAGGCATTAACGTGCGTTTAATTTATGTAATGATTGGACTGCACCCAACTGTACCTACTGTATTTATAATTGATCAATGCTGAATTTTAAACTTGTTCAAGATAATAACTTTTGACATAAATTTCAAGATAAACATGCTCGGTGTGAGCCAAGTCTTTATCTTGAAGACCGTACTATGACCTATAATGGTTTACTTTTCCAAGTTGTGACTTGGATGGAGAGTTGTGTCATTAGCACTCATAATTACAGATGCCCAGGATGCAGTTTTGGACTTTTCCATATAGCTGATGTTTCAGAGAGGCATTGTATAATACTAGGCAATAGTAGTGTAGCACTGATTTCATATATTTCTGTTATAAATCTATGATATACATATTTCTTGTACTAAATAAATGAATTACATTATACCTAATAGTGTTATTTATTTACTCAGATCGTTCAAATAGTATTACCTGTAACCATTTCCACTGCTCTAAGTGTATTTGGATCAACATCTTTTACAACTTCCTTTAAACACCTTGCTCCTTTACCAATATTTGCAAAAACTTGCTCAAGTACCCGTATAATAGGTTTCACTGTTCTGTCTTTCCTCCATGTAAACAACACTTCCTTATTCTGTGCTGTCAAATCACGATCACATTTCTCTTTTATACTCTCTATCTCTTCAACAGACAGTCCAAGTTCTATTCCTAGTTGGAAGACTATCTTGCCAATCAGCGGTGCTAATCTATCTAAAATTTCATCTGATGGAATAGAGTCTAGAATATCGTCAGGAATACCTGGAATAAGAAATCAAATATATCTACAGAGAATTCGTCAAAACTAATCAGTGACTCAAATTGCAGTGTTACCCAAAATGCTTTTTAAATAAATGGGGAACGTGTCCATGGGACATAGATGATGCCCCGCTGCAAATTAAGATTATGAAGAGACATAACTCAACAACGACAGAAGTCACCCTACCTAAATTTGAACTTAATATGTGTTTTGTGGTAATATGGTTGTGTATAAGTTTCATAACATTTGGTTGAGGAAAACTAAAGTTAGAGAACGGAAACAAAAAATACAGCAATGTTTCCATTTATAAAGAGGCATAACTCTAGAACAGTAAAAGTGAGGCCACCAAAATTTGAACTTGACCCGTGTTTTGTGGTATTTAGCATTGTGTATATAGGTTTCATAACATTTGGTTGAGGCAAACTAAAGTTAGAGAACGGAATTGAAAAATTCAGCAATTTTTCCATTTGTAAAAGGGCATAATTCTAGAATGGAAAAAGTGACGCTACCCAAATTCAAACTCGATCTGTGTTTGTGGTAATAAGCATTGTGTATAAGTTTCATAACATCTAATTGAGGCAAACAAAAGTAAGAGAACATAAAACAATTAATGAACGTATGGATGGACGGACGGACAAACGTACGTACAGACGGACAAGAGTTAGACTGAATGCCCCTCTGCTACGGCGGGGGGATGGCATACAATTGAATATTGTTAATCCCGGATTTATATGTTTGTTATGCTTGTGATAACTGTGTTTAGCCATAGCAGCCATGTTTTTTGACAGAACAACATTTATACTGCATACTTACTCAAAGTTTTGTTGAAATTGGTTCTTAATAAAAGTAGACGAAATATGATAGATAATCAATAAACTGTTGACACAGAGAAACTTTTAATTGCCTTGCATAGTTTACATGTTTTAATTCTGCATACCGCAATGAAAGATAAACATCTGTTAAGAAAGTAATTATATTGTGAAGGTATGCTCTTACAATTAATGTAACTAAACAAGCTTAACATCTCCAAAGGGAGTGATTATAACTCTAAGGATTTCTATGTAATCAAACAAGATACATATCTATATGATAAAGATAATAACATTATGACTACTGGTCAATCCCATTGAAATGTGAAAAATCCAAGTTGCACATTTATATGAAAAAGAATCAAGATGACCTTTTGATTACATTAACTACCTTTAATCAGATAATGTAACATTTATGATATATTCGATACAGAACATTATGACAAAGGCCTTTTTTATTATGTCATATAAAGACCTTTAGATATCAAAATACTTACCAGATTTCACTTGTTTTCTCCGACGTACCTGAAAATATGATAATTGTTAAAATCAATTTATTTCAGGGTGATGAGTGAAATCTATCATTAATCCATGCTATCTGAAAACAAGCTCATACTGTTATTACAGAAGTAAAGGGTCCAGACCAGATGCAAAAGACATGTTCAAATTTCTCATTGCATAGGGCATTAGCTACGATTAGGACACACATTCAATACTTTAAACTGATTTTATCCATATTTATGTGACCTTCAATTTAACCCTGAGCTGAAAATGAGCTACTTAGCTCGTTCACAAATTGTAAACAATGAAAATGAAACAAGGGTGAACCATTTTGTAGATGGATTCGACCCATAAAAAAATAATTCTTATGCAGGTAAAAAAAAACAATAGTTAACAGATTTTTAAACCTATAATATGAAATCAAGCAGACCTAGAGAAAACCAATCACAATTGATCAATATCTATCTATATGTATACGTATGTTTAAACTGGTTTATATGACCGTCAGCAGTATTAGGACTGGTCATCTCATGGGTTAATTAGACTTAAATACACACAAAAAGCAAAAACATATTATCAAGACTATGCATTGTTAATTGCTTATTTCAAATTTTTTGTAATTTGGATAAATGTTTTAGTAAATTTTAATCAAGTATGAGAATTTAAGTGAAATTGTTGAACATGAATTTGACAGCTAGTGTCCCTTTAAAAACTTAACCATCTTGTCCTTACCAAGCACAATACAACATACTGAAATGTCTCTTTTGCTTTGCTTATCTTGGTTGCATTTATATTGACCATGCTGGCAGTCTGTAATATGACGGTTTCACTCAAAGATGAATAACATATAAAATTAACCTTATCAAAGATCAATGTAAAAAAAGTATAGCAAAAGTCCCAAACTCAATGACAAATTCTAAAAGGGGACATCAATAAAAATTGACAAATTTATATGATATCAATCAACCGAACAATTGAAAAACAGCGGCCATATTCATGACTTGGTACAGGCATTTTTTGGCAGATGAAATTTGTTAAACCCGGTTTATAGCCAGTTAAGCCTCACACTTGTATGACAGTTGTGTATAATTCCATTACATTTACACCATTGGGTGGTTAACCCAAACAGATGTAATAGGCCAATGTGACAATAATAAAATCCAACAGCCAAAACCATGTAAACATTCATGACAGACGTACAACACAAATAACTAAAAAAATTCAAACAAAAACACCAATCAATGTAGCAAAGACGCAAAAAAAAGAAAGAAAAGACAGTTCAAACTAAATTTTAAATTTCACAATAACGTCAACAAAAAAGTGTTATTGATATCACATACCGTATACAGTATAAACGTTTTCTCGATAAGTAAAAACTAAGGAAATGTAATTACATGGGTAAACAAAATAGGACGACACTGCAAAAAGCCTTTGTGTCTAAATCAAACCTCCTGCACCATGATTGCCTAACACTAAAAATATTTAAAAAATTCTAAAGGGGTCCCACAGAACCCTTTGTCTCAGCCCTGATTGCTCCTGTCAATGTCAAAGCGTAATGCTGACTTCTGTCCAATAGTTATCAAAGGTACCAGGCTTATAATTTAATAAGCCAGTCGCGCGTTTCATCTACATAAAAACTCATCAGTGACGCTCAGATCAAAATAGTTAGAAAGCCAAACAAGTACAAAGTTGAAGAGCACTGATGACCCAAAATTCCAAAAAGTTGTGCCAAATACGGCTAAAGCTATCTATGTCTAGGATAAGAAAATCCTTAGTAGTTCGAATAATTTCCCAGTTTTATGAAGGTTTACAAACTTGGTATGTAAAAAGAAAAGTAATAATCACAAACCGTCTGTAAATGTTAACTGAAAAGTAAGTCCAAACATTCCAAAAAATACTGAAAATGAAAATATATGTTTCAAAATTTTGCATCAGACATAATCTGTTAATCATTAAAAAGCTTCTGCCAATGTTTCATAAAATTCTAGGAAGGTTTTACAAAGTATTACATGTGAAACAAACTTTAACACTAGACTCTATCTACTTGTTTATTGTTAAAAGTTTATTTATCATTAAAGGGCATTAGCTGTCAAATTCGTGCTTATCGATTTGACTCAAATTCTCACATATGATTTCAAACCTACTAACATGTAAAAAAAGTCCGAAATAAACAATTCACAATGCATTGGGTCGATAAAATGTATCAGCAATTCGTGTGTAATTTAGTCTAGACGCAATCTAATTAACTATCGAGATGACCTCCGAGGACTGCCTACGGTCATATAACCTGATATAAACATAACTAAAGATATAAATAGATAGATAACAAACTCGTGCAATTCGTTTTTTCGAAGTCTGTTTGATTCAATATATAATAAGTTGAAAAAATTTGTTAATAATCGTTTTTACCTTTATAAGAATTAGTTTTTGTGGATCAAATCAATAAATCAAATAGTTCACCCTTGTTCCACTTTCAATGTTGACATTATTTTCATTATCATAACTGGACACGCCTAATTAATGCATAACCCATTTCTAGCTAATGGGTTAAATGGAAGGTCACTTGAATACGGATTCGAATAAGGGTCGAATTATTTACTTGTAAATGAATAACGCATTAGCTATGTTTCCTAGATTTTTTGACAAAATTGACCAAAAATGGCTACTAAATGCGAATTGTTATTTCACTCTTTCACTTTAATATTTTTTTTCTTGTAGCGAAAGTCCCTTTGAAATATAGAAAAAAAATCCAAAATGGTGCTCTCGATACTGTATTTTTGTCTTTTACAAGCTTCTGTCCACATTTCATAACATTCCATGAAATTTTGACAAAGTCATTGATGCCTGAAAAACTTTAACCTCAGACTGAATCTGAATGATAATTGGATAAAAACTAAGTCCATTTCCATGCAAAATAGGAAAAAAAAAAATGTTTCCAAATTTTGCTCTTGATACTTAATTTTGTCACCGCCGATGACACCTCAATCTAAGATCGCTATGTTTCGCCTTTGCGAAATAAATTTTGTAGTCTCGACAAAAACCTGGTGGTAGTATGCACAGAAAGAGAATCATATAAAAATTCATAAGATCAAAAGAACCATGATATCTCGAAGACAAATAAAGGGGAAACTGAAGTAAAATTGAAAGATACACAACATCAAAACTAGAATCTATAATTTAATATGACACTGCATATGTCTCTATTGGGTCTTGGTGCTCTCTGAAGATTTTTTTTATGTCAATTTCAGATAAATTTGTACACCTTAAAATCATACCATATACCAAGTATAATAATATATAAAAAGATAAATACAATTGCACCAGTCCATTGCAGTAATTACTTACCACGCATAATTTATGTGGTGTTATTTCCATTTCTCTCAATCCGTTGTCCAATTCTGTGAATCTGATTTCATCATTCTCTTTCAAATGCATCAGTGTCAAAAATTTGACCATCTGTGTATTTGTTGGGTAATTCTCTACCATATCACTCCATACCATCTCTTCCATTCCAAGATGGAGAGCCAAATCATGAAGCATGCATGTCTCACAATTATTAGACAGGCGAAGCAACTCTGTGTTACTTGGAATCTGAGATAATGCATCTTCACTCAAACCTAAAATTAATTTAACAAGAGTGCACACGCTGAAATGTCTCGCCTTCTTTACTAATCATTGATATTATGTTGATAGTCCTAAATATAAAGCTTTATTACAACTGTCACATAAACTTAACATTAACCAAGTAAACTAACATTGACCAATGAACCATGAAAATGAGGTCAAGGTCAGATTAACCATGCTAGGCAGGCATGTTCAGCTAACAATTCTTCCATACAACAAATATAGTTGACCTATTGCTTATAGTTTAAGACAAGAGCAACTTAACATTGACCAATGAACCATGAAAATGAGGTCAAGGACAAATGACACCTGCCAGACAGACATGTACACCTTACAATCATTCCATACACCAAATATAGTTGACCTATTGCTTATACATGTAGTATTAGAAAAACAGACCAAAACACAAATACTTAACATTGACCAATGAACCATGAAAATGAGGTCAAGGACAAATGACACCTGCCAGACAGACATGTACACCTTACAATCATTCCATACACCAAATATAGTTGACCAATGGCTTATAGTATTAGAAAAACAGACCAAAACACAAAAACTTAACATTGACCAATGAACCGTGAAAATGAGGTCAAGGTCAGATGAAACCTGCCAGACTGACATGTATCCCTTATAATCATTCCATACACCACATATAGCTGACCTACTGCTTGTAGTATCTGAGAAACGGACCTAATCACGTAACTTTAACCTTGATCACTGATCCATGAAATGAGGCTGAGGTCAGGTGAACCCTGTCTGATGGACATGTAGACGTTGCAAGGAACCCATATACCAAATATAGTTATCCTATTGTTCATAATAAGTGAGAAATTTACATAACAAAAAAACTAAACTTTTTTTTTCAAGCAGTCGCTGAACCATGAAAATAAGGTCAAGGACATTGGACATATGACAGACGGAAAGTTCGTAACATAAGGTATCTGCATACAAAGTATGAAGCATCCAGGTCTTCTACCTTCTGAAATATAAAGCTTTATACAAATAGTTTACGCCGCCGTCGCCACCGCCGGATAGTTATACCTATGTCTCACTTTCTGCGACTTTCGTCGCAGGCGAGACAATAACACATATGATTAGTCAAGATTGTATGTTAATATACAGAGATAAGATGAGATAACTAGAGGTACGCAATATTAGCAACATATGCAGTAATCTAATTCTAATTTCTAACCTATGTTCACAAAATACACCTAAATATATTATCTTAAATGTAGCACATACTTTAATCTGTTGACAGCAATCGTAGGCAATTTACTCATAAGACATATAGGATATATTTTAGTAATTTACAGCAATTAATCTTAACTAAACTTGCAAATCATATTTTTTAAATTGAAAGTTTCTAATACAAGTATCTTTGGTAATTGTAAACTCAGATGGTAAAAATCCATTACTTTTCCACAGATGTTCCAATCTGAAATATGTGAAATATAATTATGTTGATAACACTATATTATTTAAGCTTTATCAGCACTAAAGCAAGTCAGTAGCATGGTTTAAGACATGAGATATGAAATTGGAAATTTTCATAACTTAAATGTTAACTCTGGTCAATAATATGCAAGTGCAGAGAGATAAATGATACATTTACCTGGACAATCTGCATCACACTGCTTTTGTTCCTGTAAAGTAGAAAATAACTCTACAATTCAAGTATGTGTGTAATTCCATGTAAGCAATTACTTGTTCATCGGTCCACAAAAAAACATTTCACTTTGTAAAATGTGTGAAACTAATGACAAAAGCACACATATTAAAAAAATATAATATTGTCAAATGCTGATAGAAAAAATTAGTACAAGCAAAGTCAGGTGAATATTTTAATTATTAATTCGCTCTTCTACCTTACAAAAAAAGGTTTAAACTAAGAGATGTCATGGCAACATTATCATCCCTTTGTCCCTGATAAATTCGTCTTTTGCTGTTTAGTTACTATCATACCAACATCAACAAGTTGGTACAGATATAAATTTGTCTCTGAATGTATGGACATTTTTTACATAACAACTTTAAGAGATCGATATGTGGCATAGGTTTTAATCATTGTTGAAGGCCTTATGGCGACCCATAGGTGATGAATTCTACGTCATTTGGTTTATGGTGGAGAGTTGTTGCAATGACAATCATATACCATATCTTCTTTCCTATATAGAGTTGAAAAATTGTCTAACATATAAATGCAAATTGAGTACCAATCTTCTGCAATAAGGGAACTTGGCGACATATTCGCAGGCTTAGAAATCAAATTCTAGATTTCTCTCATTGATATACCAATAAATGTATATACATACCCTTTTCTTGTTCCAAATACTCCAGTTATTTTTAATGTTTTCACCGTGTTCGCAAAGACATTCCTCAGTTTCTGAAGCCATCTTGTTTTCTGAAGTAAAACAGCTTAATTTCGAGCAGGAATACTCGGTGTGGAAGGGTAACTTGCTGCTGGCTTTACAATGGATGGAGGACTGATAAAATTCAGAGATTCTCTCTAAAGTAATAAACAAACAATCCCGGACACTAGTGGCTATATCAGGTATTATCAGGCCCTTGGAGCGCTTGTGGACTAGGTACAGTAAGATCTTGTTACCTTCTACACAGACAATAATATCATGCTCTTTATCAAATGATAACCCAACAAACCCAGAAAACATAAGTTTTCTTCCACGGTATTCTTTTAATGTCCACATACTGAGACATGCACATATTAAACGGTTTGGTAAGGCTGGAGGTATGATGGTTCCTTTGAAAACAAAGGCCAAACTAAGAGTCCTCTCTGGTGTACATTCTTGTGTCAAGAAATCTGTATCGTTTCTTTGTGTTAGCATACAGGGTACAAAGAAGTTTTCTATTGGTAGACGACTTCCTGTTTTTGAATCATATCTACGTTGTTCAGATACGATATCTAGATGTATCAGCATATCAAATATGTACTCTTTAAATGGTAAAATCTGACGGAATTCTTCTTGCTCCCAAATCTGGTAGAGATCTACTTTTTGTATCATTCCATTTATAGACATCTTTTTGAAGGTTTTCCTTGTTTTATCTTCTTTTGGCCAGAATTCAACATCTATGAAAATGAAAATATAAAAAATTTTCTTCAGATTTTATATGGAGACCATATAACTACAGATCAGAAAGAAATTGCAAAGAATTCAATAATTATTTCACCTCATGTGTTGAAAAATAAAGGCATAGCAGGGCACCAAGCATCTCAAATTTTAATACTCTGACAAACTATGTACAAATGAAATTCCTAAAAAAAGGCAGAAGTAGTTCATCATTCCTCCAGTAAAAGTTTCAGAACTATTTGATGAAATAATTAAACTAGATGTTAAGACATCCTCCTGTTCTGACAATATAGGTCCAAAAATTTTAAAACTGAGTGCTCCTTTCATAGCAGCTTCCTTAACATACATTTTTAATCGAATGATTGATACTGGTATTTATCCATCTGTTTTAATAAATGCCAAGGTAGCTCCAATTTTCAAATCTGATGAAAAAAACGTAGCTAGAAATTACAGAGCAATATCTGTTTTGCCAACATTATCAAAATTAATAGAGAGACATGCATGTATCTAAACATCTGTATAATTATTTGACAAAGTTTCAAATTTTACACCCTTCCCAGTCTGGTTTTAGACCTAACCATTCATGTCAAACTGCCCTCATTAATAACATTGATAAATGGCTACATGAAATGAATAATGGAAATATCAATTGGGCAGTCCTCCTGGATTTTAAGAAAGCTTTTGATGTTGTTGATCATGAAATTGTATGTAAAAAAACTTCAAATTGGTGGCTTCCATGAAGATACTGTTGATTTTTTAAAATCATATTTTGAGTGAAAGAACACAGCAAGTCCATATAAATAATCAGTTTTCTTATAAAAAGTTTATAAATTTTGGTGTTCCACAGGGCTCAATACTTGGTCCCATTTTGTTTGTTTTGTACATAAATGACCTTCCATTACACATTAAAAATTGCCATATAGACTTGTATGCAGATGACACAACTATGCATACATCAGGAAAGAGTATTGCTGATATGCAATTAAAAGAACAAGATGATCTCCAATGTGTTGAAAAATAGTGTCATAAAAATAACATGTTCATAAATTCGGATAAGACTAAATGTATGGTTATAGGTACAAGACAAAGGCTGCGTTTAAATCAAGCGAACCAGTTTTAACTATTGAGAATACTATTCTTCAAAAATCATCAATTGAAAAACTTTTAGGTGTTAGAATTGACTCTAATCTGTCCTGGACAGGCCATGTTAATTACTTATGTTCATCAATATCATCTAGACTTCATTTACTCTCTAAAATCAAGAAATTTCTAAATATTGATTCAAGAAAATTGTTTTATAATGGCTATATTCTCCCACTGATAGATTATTGTTGTATTATTTGGAGTGGTTGAGCTAAAAATGAGCTAGTCAGAATAATAAAATTGCAGAAAAGGGCTGCAAGACTTATTTTAGATGCTGATCAACTTTCATCATCAGCTCCACTGTTTAAACAGCTTGGGTGGACGACAGTAGAAAACAGAATCTCATACCACAAATCTGTTTTGATGCAGAAATGCCTTGAGGAACAAAGCCCCTGTGTATCTCACTGAAAACTTTAAAGAAATGCCAGAAATAAACCAATATTGTTTGAGGAATGCATCTTGCAAAAATTTACAAGTTCCAAAAGCCAAAACAGAGCTGTATAAGAAATCTTTTATATATTCAGGATCTATTTTATGGAATAACTTACCAATATCCCTGAAAAAATTAACCTCAAGTACAAGCTCATTCAAAAAAGATTTAAAAAATTACTTGTTGGAACATTAAGAAGCTGTGTAATTTTATATGTATAATAATTTTCACACACTTACTCAAACTTAAGATATTGTTGAGTTAATTTGAATGATGGCAATACTATATGAATTTGTAATTTTTACCTGTTTTGAAAATTGTATATTTCATAACAATTTTTTATTTCATGTTTTCATATATGTGTGTTTGTTTGATATTTTGTAATGGGTTGTTATATTTCATTGTATTTCATGAGGGCCTCAGGGAAGATTAGTTTTATAGCTAACTGTATAACCCTCTTTAAATAAAGAATTATTATTATTATTATTATTATTTCAAAACAAATTAACTTTCCTAATTTTGTATTCAAAGCATTTAAAGATCAAAATTGAATACTTTCCCATTGGAAAAATATTACCACAAAATAGGCATGTATATGTCTTTAACAAGTAAAACTGTGAGCTACTGCTCACTGATGATACCCCCGCCGAAATATTTCGGTAAACAGGAAGTTGTTGAGTGAAAACGCATCACACTGTATAGCTGACTTATATAAACCCTGAAACCAAATTTCAGAAATCCTTGTCAAGTAGTTCCTGAGAAAAATGTGACGAAAATTTTCAACTTGGCTATCATGTGTAAAATAATATAAGTGTTCGGTAAACAGGAAGTTGTTGAGTGGTGAATCTGAAAACGCATCACACGGTGTAACTTACTAATATAAACCCTGAAACCAAATTTCAGAAATCCTTGTCAAGTAGTTCCTGAGAAAAATGCGACGAAAATATTCATGGGACGGACGGATGGACTGACGGACTGACGGACAGACGGACACACAGAGGTAAAACAGTATACCCCCTTTTTTAAAGCGGGAGTATAATAATAATGCGTGTACATGTTTTTTTGTACGAGCAACATAAATGACAATGGTGGAATGTGGTCTGAATGTATCAATCAATCAAAGTTGATTACAACTGCTCCTTCTCATGATGAAAAATGAATTTATTTAGTTATGAGGTCCCTAACAGCCTTTTTGCATTTTTCTGAATGATTTTTTGGGGTTTAATTATCATTGTTTTAATGTAAGTGATTGTTTATTTGAAGCCAGAAAGTGGTTATTAAACCGACCAAAGGTGCGAAAAATCTTTTTCATTTTACAATTTAATGGTTTAAAGAAAAAAATACTACTTCTATTTATGTCTTAGGGGAAATCACCAACCATAAACAAAATGAAGGACAACACAATGCAATAAACAGCTGCGCCATGAGCGCATGATACGCCCATTGCGTTTTCAAAGAATAAAGTTCAATAACTTCTCAATGTCATATCAGAAATTTATAAAAATCGTAAGGGAGCTTATAGAAAATATAAATAGATATTAACAATTCACCAAAGTTTCATTAGAACTGCTGAAAGTAATTTTGAGTTATTTTCCGAAAACTGGAAAATCCCCCCTTTTTTGATGAATAAAACCCCATAACTTGGAAATATAAAATCTAAAATTTATATAATATAAAAGGGAGCTTACGTCAACAGACATAAACTTTTCACCAAAGTTTCATGAGACCTGCTAAAAGCATTTTTGAGTTCTTGTCCGAAAACTGGAAAATCCCCCCTTTTTTAATGAATAAAACCCTGTAACTCAGAAAAGTACAATTTAAAATTTATAAAACATGGAAAGGGAGCTCATGTCAATAGATATAAACAATTCACCAAAATGTCTTGCAAATTGGTGAAAGCATGTTAGAGTTATTGTCCAAAAACTGGAAAATTCCCCTTTTGTTAATTAATAAAACCCCATAACTCGGAAACGTATGATCTAAAATTAATAAAAAACGAAAGGGAGCTCACGTCAATAGACATAAACAATTCCCTAAAGTTTTATGAAAATTAGTTAAAGCATTTTTGATTTAATGTCCAACATGTTGACGGACGAACTGACAGACGGACGGACAATAGTATACAATAATACGTCACGTAAACGGGCGTATAAAAATGAAAACACTTAAGAAAGTACACTGGGAATATTTAGATAAGTGTATTTCCTAACAACATTTGTAAAGCAGTTGGTCGTCCATCTTAATTTATACACTGATGTTTTTCTTGCAATTTTATTTTGCTGCGGAAATTATGTTTAAGAAAGCAGAGCCACCAATCAAAAGTTTTTTAAGGATTTCATCCCTTGTTCTCAAATTCATCATCTAAACAAAGGTCTACAAAACGTCACGATGAAAACTATATGTTTTAGAACAATATATGGTTGTTCTCTGTAAACTTCAACTCTCGTAAATATTCAATATATTGGGTAGAAAACAATCGTATCACAATGATGCAAGTGATGACGTTTGTGTTAACATTATGAAATTAACCTCAATATATTATGTCAAGATTCACTTGAGAGTTACAAAAGATGATGTATGGCAGTCACCCATGATGACATCTTGTCAGTCAATTGCTGTCTTTGATCTTAATGTTATGTTCATTTTTATCAGTTGTTTTTCGGCGTAAAGTTTACTACTACTATTATACTAGTTTACTATTTCAAACGTATTTTTAATAGATTTTGACTTGATCTAAATAAGACATTCCATTTTTTGGGCTGGGAAAAGTTTTAGTTTTATTTCACAGAAATGGTATATGATAGTTCAATAGCCGATCACTGGATTAATCACAGGCAGTGTATTTCTAACAGCCAAATATGATTTTAACTTTAAAAGGAATTTATGTTCCATTGTTAAGGTTCGGATTTCAGGATGAAATTCTTTCCCCAATACAACTAGAAAGTGAATAGAGTTACATTTGTGACATTGACCAACAATACTTCCTTTTCACAGTTGTAAGAGTTGCAGTATGAATATAACAACAACATATTGTCTCAAAACATAATTGTGCTGGTACTTATAACCAGGATAGGAATACTTGCATTTTCAAAGTTTTTTAGCATTGTTGAAATATATTTTATATTAAATAACTATGTAGTTCTACAGTTATACCTAAACCTTTATACATATCAAATATCTGTTTCAGTTTAAACTAACGAATTTTTTTTTTTAAATTTGCAATTGTGTTTTTACAAAACATAAGTTAAAACAGCCATCTTTTCTAATATTCCACAACAGAATAAAATAATTGTCTGCACTTCACAAATATTAACGCTGTGATTGAAAAAGGATCAATTTTGACTAACTGTATAACATAAAAGTTCTGACAAACCGACAAAAAGATTAGTATAGGGCACAGTTCAACATTTTCCAGTGCTCTTAAAACTGGCTGATACACAATATTTTGGTATGTTTGTTTTTTTATACCAGCAATATCTTTTGGTATGTTTGTTTTTTTATACCAGCAATATCATCACTACTCAATGAAAATATATACACACCTGTAATGAAAGATCTCATTACTTCCACCATAAGAAGGGGGCTTATGATAACATTATCTCTTAGCTGTGGGGTATCAAAATAAACAATCTTTCCAAGAGAGTGTTGATAATGTAAAAAATCTGTTAGCTGCTCAGGAGACAGGACAGACACCTCGCTGATGGCATTTAATTCTTTAACTTCAGCCAATGACATAATTTGTTTTCCTTCTGCCACTAATTCAGCGATCTCCAGCTCTAGTGGAACACAAGCATTGGGCATTCTTTCACCCCAACATGGGTGGTTGAATGTAAGTTCTGTAATTGTTTTCTTCAGAACTTCTATTTCTGGGTCTTCTTGATTTTTTGCATTGACAAATATTAGAGGTCTAAGGACCAGATGATGTTGTCCCTCGTGGTCTTTAAACAACTTCTCAATTCCACTGTAAAGCTCTTCACGTCGTGTCTCAACATTCTCCTTTAAAACATAAAAAGTTACCAAATTTAGATTTATCTCAAATTTTCAGAGTAGATATATCTACTCTTACAGGTCAATTTACACCTTTAACCTAGCTCTTATACTTTTAAAGATAACTTTCCGAAACTGTTAACAGTTGTTTAATCTTACATTCCAAGGGGAATAAAGTGATATTAGGGTCTTTAGAATATTTTTTGGAGAAGAACATGTTATTGATGTTTTTTTGTTGTTCACAATTTTACAAACATAGTTTAGAAACACTAGTAAAAACTAGATGTGTATGAACGACACGAATGGCCCCGTCTCAAAAAGTTGAAAAATCTGCACTTTCAACAACACATGTGGACACAAACATGCATGGATAGTATCAAGCTCTCAAGACCAATACTAGTTTGATGAAAAATTTCCTTGATCAATGAGTAATTAAATTTCAAACCTATCAGCAAACAGGAAGTGGATGTACTGCAGATCTAACAAGATGTGTTAAAACGACATGAAAATCAGCAAAGCGGAACGAAACATAAACTTGATCTGTAACTCATCATGGTAGTCTCACATACCAAAAATCAGCCCAATATCTAAAGGCATTTAGAAAAAAGTCCCTATAACTGTGATTTTCAACAATTTATCAAAGTCCAAAGCCCGTAATTTCGGCAAAAATTAGCAGAGCGGAACGAAACTTAAACTTGATCTGTAACTCAACATGGTTAACTCACATACCAAAAATCAGCCCAATAGCTAAAGGCGTTGAGAAAAAAACCATATAACTGTGATTTTCAACAATTTGTCAAAGTCCAAAGCACGTAATTTCGGCAAAGATTAGCAGAGTGGAACAAAACTTAAACTTGATCTGTAACTCAACATGGTTAACTCACATAACAAAAATCAGCCCAATATCTAAAGGGGTTTAGAAAAAAAGTCCCTATAACTGTGATTTTCAACAATTTATCAAAGTCCAAAGCCCGTAATTTCGGCAAAAATTAGCAGAGCGGAACGAAACTTAAACTTGATCTGTAACTCATCATTAACTCACATACCAAAAATCAGCCCAATATCTGAAGGTATTTAGAAAATATGTCTGTATAACTGTGATTTTCAACAATTTATCAAAGTCCAAAGCCCGTAATTTCGGCAAAAATTAGCGGAGCGGAACGAAACTTAAACTTGATCTGTAACTCATCATGGTTAACTCAAATACCAAAAATCAGCCCAATATCTGAAGGCGTTTAGAAAAAAAGTCTGTATAATGGTTTGTTGCGGAATGACGGAATGACGGACAAGGGTAAATATATATGGCCCTGACAGCTTTGTTGCGGGTCCATAAAAATAACATTTTAATAAATTGGCAATAAATCTAAAACAGTTCAAGAGGATATTAAAAGCCTAGTAGCCAGTAATTTCGGTATTTGCGTGAAAATTAAGATATTGTTTGATTTAAATTTGTAGTTATAAATAAATGGGGAATGTGCCCAAGGTACAAAAATGATGCCAACTCTAAAAAGGGACAGAACTCAAGAACTGTAAAAGTGACGCTACCTAAATTTGGACTTGATCTGAGTTTTGTGCTAATAAGTATTGTGCATAAGTTTCGTAACATCAATGAAGAGACATTAATTGCTGAGAAGTGCATCTGGTGCAGTACTACTAAATGACAGAGTTTCTTATACACAAACTTTTTGTTGAAATTAAACTGACTTAAAAAAAATCTTTAACATTTAAACTGAACAATTGTTTTAAGGGCATACGATACAGTTACAGGGGAAGTAATGACGTTGCTAACGTAAATTGTTATTTTCACGACGTCAAACTGTGACTTATTGGGAAAAGATGCAGTTTTCAACTGATTTTTATCATTCAAACTGATTTAACTTGAAAACGAGTTAATGAACCCCTCTTTTTTAAAATGACATTTGGTTTGATTACTTATGAAGATTATGTGTACCAATTTTCATGAAATAGTCAATAGTGCAATTATTTAAAATTTGATAAATATACAGCAATAAACTGTTATCACAGAGATATGTCTCGCCTTTTTGTAATTTTGATAATGCAAATGTTGAAATTAAAATAGTAATACTTTAACATGTAAGTTATGCAAATATTCAAAGTCGGTGAACCATGACTGAAGGTACATGGCTAAACAATCTCCATGGAATGAGATGTGCCAATGCTAATATAACTGCATACCAAATACCATTGACTTATTATAAGTTGTTCCCTTTAAACAAACCAAAACACAAACATTAACTTGTAAACTATGTAAAAGTTTCAAAGTCAATGAACCATGATCAGGGGTGGGGCTATATAATCTCCATGGAAACGATACTTGCAAATGCCAATAAATTTGCATACCAAATATCATTGACTTAACATTAGCAGTTCATCTTAAACTGATCTAATCACAAACTAATACATGTAAACTAAGCAAAAGTTTCAAAGTAAATAGACCATGACTGAGGGGGCGGGGCCAAATAGTCTCCATGGAAATGAGATGTGCTAATGCTTATACAACTGAACACCAATTAACATTGGCCTACCACTAATGGTTCCCCTTGAACTGACCTAATCACAAACTAATACATGTTAACTTAGCAAAATTTTCAGTCTATAGACCATGACTAAGGGGGCGGAGCCAAATAATCTCCAGGGAAATGAGATATGCCAATGCTTATACAACTGCATACCAAATATCATTGACCTACCACTAGTGGTTCACCATGAACTAGACCAGATCACAAACAAATACATGTAAACTATGAAAAGTTTCAAAGTCAATAGACCTTGACTGAGGGAGCAGGGCCAAAAAATCTCCATGGTTATGAGATGTGCCAATGCTAATACAACTGCATACTAAATATCATTGACCTACCACTAGTGGTTCACCATGAACTAGACCTAATCACAAACTAATACATTGTTGACTCCGCCGACGCCGGAAACAGCATACCTATGTCTCGCTTTTTGACTCCGTCAAGGCGAGACAAAAAACGACGTTTTTTTTCCTACATGCATGAACATTTGATAAATAAGAGTTAATTGTAAAAATAAAATGTACAAATTTATAGAACATTTATATTAAACAGAAATTACAAATAATTTAACAAAAAATTTGTAAGGGTTCCGCGGAACCCAGTGTCTCGCCTACTTTTACTGTTAATCCCAGGCTCAACAAAAAATGAAGAAAAATAATTAATAAAAATATACCTCTCTATACTATCTTTTGATTGTAAGTAGCTTCTGTTCAAGTTTGGTAAAAATTCAGGATAGTTTATGAATCTAATAAATGTTTTAATAACTTAAACTGCAGCACTGTGTCTAAACTACCCCGGCAAAAAATGTTTGGACTCGATAGTATCTAATATCCGGTACGGTGACGGACAATCAACAGACAGGGAAAAGGTAAAATTTCTGTTTATTTATTTGTTTTTTAATGATATTGAAGAATATACATACACATATAACTATTTTTGATTGTGTGATGTAATATTTTCTACAACCGTTCTAGATTAATGGAGAAATAAGTAAAAAGGCACATCAAAATGGTGAATTGATTAAACCTTGCTACGAATTTGTTTAATTTCTTTTTAAATTGTGCACATTGTACGAAAAGAAAAGTACGGAAAGAAAGATATTAACACAGAGATTTCATGGCTAGTCACTATGAGCACCTCAATATTTGCATTTCTGTGCATGGAACGAAAGAAATGGGTCATGTCAAAATGGAAGGACCCTGTTTCGTCAATGTTGTTTATTACATAAGGACCCGGTTTTGTCTCAGTATAGGACCCGGTTTTGTTTTGTTTTGAAACCACAAATTTATGAAAAGCTACGGATCTGAACATTGCCCATCGGAAGAAATTAAATATGTGAGTCAAAATGATGTTATAAAGATGTTATTGCAATACAAACATGTCGTGTTAAAATATATTTAAAACGGGGACTTTTCGAAATAGGGAGTAGACATTTTTGAATGCTATACGTATACCTTATTGAACTTATCTTCGAACTAAGTTTAAATTGAAATAAATACTTTATAGCATGTACTTACATTAATTCCTTATGATATAAAAAGAAGATGTGGTGTGATTGCCAATGAGACAACTCTTCACAAGAGACCAAATGACACAGAAATCAACAACTATAGGTCACCGTACAGCCTTCAACAAAGAGCAAAGCCCATACCGCATAGTCAGCTATAAAAGGCCCCGAAATGACAAATTTAAAACAATTCAAACGAGGAAACTAACGGTCTAATTTATGTACAATAAAATGAACGAAAACCAAATATGTAACACAGCAACAAACAACAACTACTGAATTACAGGCTCCTGACTTGGGACAGGTACATATATACCGATGTGGCGGGGCTAAACATGTTAGCGGGATCCCAACCCTCCCCTAACCTGGGAAATTGGTGTATCAGTACATCATAAGAACGAACTATAAAAATCAGTTGAAAAAGGCTTAACTCATCAGATGGATACAAATAGAAATACATCTAACAAATGTTTGTTTGTTTTCTATACTATTGTATATTGACGGACAGTGAGAGAAAAAGCTCCGTTTTGAAGGCCGTACTTTGACCTATAATGGCTAACTTTTACAAATTGTGACTTGGATGGAGAGTTGTCTCATTGGCACTCATACCACATCTTCTTATATCTAAAAGAACGTTTTGGATATCTTAAATCAAAAAGTTGCCTTTCGAACGTGTATTTTATGTCCTCTTTGAAATACACAAGTTCTAAACTTCCCTATTAAAATCGAAATAATTCTATCATGCCATACCCTACGCTCATTTTAACATGGGTAGGCATTATATTTGTCAATATTTTATACCTTGCTAATGCTTGGTTTAACAATTTTAACAAATATAATGCCTACCTATGTTAAAATGAGCATTGAGCATGGCATGAAAGAATTATTTCTTTTTATAAATAAAAGTTGGTTTGCAACATTATAACGTCCAATATCTTAGTCTTCGTCGTCGTCTTCGTAGAACAACCTAAGTGGCAATTTAGCCCGTGAAAAATTACAATGAGACAGCTTTTTATCAGAGACCAAATGACGTAAAAGTTAACAAATATAGAACACCGTATGGCATCCAACAGTGAGAAACGCCCATACAGCATAGTAAGCTAAATAAGGCCCCGAAATGAAAACTGAAAAAAAAAACAACTAATGTGAACACTTACAACCTGATTTATTTACAAAATAAATAAATGTGGATAGTGTCCACATGTGGACACAGATGATGCCCCCGCTTGCATATCATATAGTTATAAAGAGACTTAACTGAAGAACGATAAAAGTGACGCTACCCAAATTTGAACTTGATCTGAGTTTTGTGGTAATAAGCATTGTGTGTAAGTCTCATAACATTTGGTTGAGGCTAACTTAAGTAGAGAACAGAAACTAAAAATTCAGCAATTTTTCTATTTGTAAACACCCATAACTCTAGAACAGTTGTGTATAAGTTTTACAACATTTGGTTGAGACAAACTAAAAAATTCAGCAATTTTTATGTTTATAAAGGGACATAACTCTAGAATGGTAAAAGTGTTGCCAACTAATTTCGTACTTAATCTGTATTATGTAGTAATAAGCATTGTGTATAAGTTTCATAACATTTGGTTGAGGCAAACTCAAGTTAGAGAACTGAAACAAAAAATTGTACTTGATCCTTACTGAGTTTTGTGGTAATGAATATTGTGTATAGGTTTCATAATGTTTGGCTGGGGAAAACTTCAGTTTCAGAATGGAAACTAAAAAAATTTGCAATCTTTCTATTTATAAAGGGGCATAACTCAATAATGGTTAAAGTGACACTACCCAAATTCAACTTGATCTGTGTTTTATCAGTGGAAGTCAAAATTAAACATTGCATTGTATAAAGCATTGATTGTAGTTGATCCAACTATAATCATGGTCAAAGGAAGATAACTCCAATTTTAAAAATATATTATATAAACTTGATATTTAGAAGAAAATAAAAATTTTGCAATTTTTCCTTTTATAAAGGGGCATAACTCTAGATCGGTTAGAGTGACACCACCAAAATTCAAACTTGATCTGTGTTTTGTGGTAATAAGCATTGTGTATAAGTTTCATAACATTTGGTTGAGGCAAACTTAAGTTAGAGAACGGAAACTAAAAATTTTGCAATATTTCCTTTTATAAAGGGGCATAACTCTAGATCGGTTAAAGTGGAACCACCAAAATTCAAACTTGATCTGTGTTTTGTGGTAATAAGCATTGTGTATAAGTTTCATAACATTTGGTTGAGGCAAACTCAAGTTAGAGAACGGAAACCAATTTCGGGACGTACGGACGGACGTACGTACGTACGTACATACGTACGTACAGACGGACAAGGGTAAAACTTAATGCCCCCTCCGCTACGGCGGGGGCATAAAAACGAAAAACAAATACATGTATGATATACAGCAACAAAAGACAACCACGGATTTACAGGCTCCTAGATTCGGTACTGGCACATACCGAATGGCGGGGTTGAACGTGTAAGCGCCCCCCTCCATCCCCTCCCCCCCAAAAAACAAGGAAAAAACTGGTATAACAGCACAACATATGAACAAACTATAAAATTCAGTGAGTTCAAAAAGGCGTAACTCATTTGATTACAGAGCTCCTATAGTAAATATGCGATTGCGGCTGTCTCTGTTTTTTCGTCTTTTATTAAATTTTATGATGGTTTACGACATAGTTACATTATATCAGTGGCGGACCCAGGGGGTAGAGGGAGTACGACGACCCCCCCCCCCCCCCCTTTTGGTGGCTAGAAATAATTATTTTATCATGTTTTTTACGATTAATATATGATTTTTTATTTAGCATAAAATCGTTAAAAAAAAGTTCCCCTTGCTACGCTCTGCGATGTAAAATCCGTTTATGAATTTGCCCCTTTCAAAAATCATGGCCTCGGTCCGCCCTTGCATATTGACAATTTTAAACTTGACCAATGTCCTTAAATTGTAGAACACTTGTCAATGTACGATAATCATTATACAATGAAGAGATAAACCTATATATAATAGTTGTACTATATAGGGCAGTTGTTAACAACTTGATACTAGTGCATTAAAGAATTTGTTAATTTAAAAAAAAAGAAGGAAAAAAAAAGAGATAAAACATCGTTTATTTATAAAATTACTAATAAAAATAATCATCATTGCAATTTCCTGATGGCCTAAGACTATTTTACTAATTTATACTTAGTATTATTGTAACAAGGAGGGGTAAACAGATTTTAACGCACTATTATTGTGATCCTTTTCGCTGCATGGAAATTCCTTTTCTTGGGCGATTCTGCATGCATATACATTTGTCTTATTCTCTTGCTTTATAATGAACGTTTAGTTTAAAAATATTTATTTTCAAACGATCATACTGTCTCTCCCTTTAAGTAGAGCGGAACATTAAGATAACCATCTTGTTGTCCCAGAAAATCACATATCAAATGTGCGTCCTTAAATTTTCAAAGCCGTACACTATTTAAGTTTGAACACTTAAATTTACATAGTTGATATAAAAAAATCTAATTGCATTACAAAACCTTCATTTATTTTTAATTTTTCCTTTTTTTTATACAAAACAAAATTGAAATTTGCTTTGTTCTAATATATCAGGAATTCAAGTGTTTACGGATTAAAAAAGGTTATAAGTTATCCTCTGAAAGAAAATGTTTTTCAACGATCCCTCAAACTGCTGTTGAACGCCATATTTTAATTTTCGTCATGCGATTATGCATTATTTTCTATGACAAAACCCGGGTCTGCTTTGTGAAATTTAAGGACAAAACCGGGTCGTACACATTGACAAAACCAGGTGCTTCAATTTTGACATGACCCACTTCTTTCATTCCATGCACAGGCATGCAAATATTGAGGCGATCATAGTGAGAAGTCTTGAAATCTCTGTGTTAATATCTTTCTTTCCGTACCTTTCTTTCCGTACAATGTGCTCAATTTAAATAGAAAATAAACAAATTCGAGGCAGGATTCACTCAATTCACCACTTTGATGTGCCTTTTTACTTATTTCTCCATAAATCTAGAACGGTGGTAGAAAATATTACATCACACTATTGAAAATAGTTATATGTGTATTTATATTCTTCAATATCATTAAAACAACATATAAATAAACAGAGTTTCTACATTTCTCTGTCTGTTGATTGTCCGTCACCGTACCGGACATTAGATACTATTGAGTCCAAACATTTTTCGCCGGGGTAGTTTAGATACAGTGTGCAGACTGTATGTAATGTTAACTGGAAGAAAAACTAAGTCCATTTATAAGTAAAATACGGAAAAAAAGGAACAAAATTTTAACAAAATTTCATTCTAGATACTAGCTTTTAATAATAAACAAGCTTCTGTCCAAGTTTAGTACAAATCCAGGATAGTTTAAGAAAGTTAATAAAATTTGAAAAACTTTAACCACAGAGTGAATGTAATGTTTCCTGGCAGAAAAACTAAGTCCATTTATAAGTAAAATACGGAAAAAATGGAATTTTTTTTTGCAAAATTTACTTTTGAATAATTATCTTATGATCATAAACAAGCTTCTGTCCAAGTTTGGTAGAAATCCAGGATAGTTTAAGAAAGTTATTAAAATTTGAAAAACTTTAACCACAGAGTGAATATTTGTGGCCGCCGCCGACGACAACGGAATGTAGGATCGCTATGTCTCACATTTTCGACAAAAGTCGAAGGCTCGACAAAAACAGCTTGTGTTTATCTTTTAAAACAAAAAAATTATGTATTTCTGTCGAAAGGAAAAATACGTCCACAAATCTGAATTTTGAGAAAATATCTGAAATTTCAACCTCAATTTACTCAAAAAGTAGCACATGATGGTATATTTTTTATTGCATATTTGATTTAATCAGGTAAAAAATAGCCTATATGCAAATTTTCATCAAAATTTCATTATGGGATCAAAACTGTATCGTATGCCCTTAGTCAATAGACCATGAATGAGAGTGGCAGGGCTAACTAATCTCCATGGAAATGAGATGTATCAAATTGAATATTGATACAAGGCATATCAAATATCATTTACTTATCTATTAGTGGTTCTTCATATCTTCTACTCTATTTATTAGCCCCGTAATCTGATCTTTAGTCTATTACCCACAAATCAATAGGAATCTTGTTCTTTTAAAAGTGTAGTTTCAAAAACATTTTGGTCAAGTTAAGACATATGAGCATACATCATTATGTAAGCCTAAGAGCTCTTATGGGGCAATTTGTACACATTATTAAAGTATTCCAAATGGCAATAACTAACTATTATATAGCTAGCATTAGATCACTCACCCTTGGTACTTTGTCCTTGTGAGTGGCAACAAACAAGATCTTTGGAATGCCTGCATATACAACCTTACAATAGGTCAGGATGGAATTGACCCAATATTGCAAGAATACTACAAAATAAAATCAAAATCTGTCATAAAAGAAGTACAAAAAAAATATATATACATTCTGCATTTTTCATAGTTGTGATACTGCACTTTAATTTTTTCATTATCTTTTGTTTTGTTAACCCGTTACTCAAAAAAAAAATGGCTGAATACTTAGTCAACCTCATTCATTTAAACAGTTGACAATAGTCTTCCTTTAAGTTGGATTATCTGTCAAAAAGTGACAACTATTTCAGTGTATATCTATATACTATATTGTTGTATTTTTTCTTCAGTTTATTTCATTAACACATAGATGAAGGAAGGCATATTAAAAATGGGGTAACAATGCTAAAGACCTGCATACAATTAAAACGTATACAAACAAACATTTCAAACCGTACAAATAATGGCCAGTTCCAGTTGCCGTCCTGTTAAAAAATTTTGTGGAACAGCCCTTGGATTTTGTGTTTGTTCTTATCGCTATCTTGCTTTTTTAATTATCATTTATGGCCAATAACACATTTTTTTCGTAGTGCATTTCTTTAAAAAAACTAGAGGCTCTCAAGAGCCTGTGTCGCTCACCTGTATTTACTGATGCTTTGGAAATCATGTAAAATAAGGTTAAAATCATAATTAATAGTATTAGATATTAGATATTATAATCATGATATCTAAGATAATAACAAAAAACTGCAAAATTTTTGTAAAATTACTAACTCAGGGGAAGCAACCCAACAATGGGTTGTCGGATTCGTCTGAAAATTTCAGGGCAGATAAATCTAAATCTGATGAACATTTTTGCCACCTGTCAGATTTGCTCTAAATGCTTTAGTTTCAGAGATATAAACCAAAAACTGAATTTTACCCCTATGTTCTATTTTTAACCAAGTTTGGCCATGATGGTTGGAAGGCGGGGTCATCGGACAAATTTTTTAAACTAGATACCTTAATAATGATTATGGCCAAGTATGGTAAAATATGTCTCAGTAGTTTCAGAGAAGAAGATTTTTGTAAAAGATTACACAAATTTACAAAAATTGTTAAAAATTGACTATTAAGGGCAATAACTCCTAAAGGGGTCGACTGACAATTTTGGTCATGGCAACTTATTTGTAGATCTTACTTTGCTGAACATTATTGCTGTTTACAGTTTATCTCTACCTATAATGATATTCAAGATAATAACCAAAAACTGCAAAATTTCCTTAAAATTACCAATTCAGGGGCAGCAACCCAACAACAGGTTGTCAGATTTGTCTGAAAATTTCAGGGCAGATAGATCTTGACCTGATAATCAGTTTCACCCTATGTCAGATTTACTCTAAATGCTTTGGTTTCAGAGATATAAGCCAAAATCTACATTTTACTCCTATGTTCTATTTTTAGCCATGGCGGCCATCTTGGTTGGTTGGCGGGGTCATCGGTCACATTTTTTAAACTAAATACCCTAATGATGATTGTGGTTAAGTTTTGTTAAATTTGGCAAAATAGTTTCAGAGGAGAAGATTTTTGTAAAAAGCTAACGACGACGGACGACGACGATGACGACAGACGACGGACGCCAAGTGATGAGAAAAGCTCACGTGGCCCTTCGTGCCAGGTGAGCTAAAACATGCAAATTAAACAAGAGTGCACTTTACTGACCATTGATTTTATGTTGATAGTCCTAAATATAAAGCTTTACTACAAGTATCACATAAACTTAACATGATCCAAGAAAATGAGGTCAAGGTCAGATAAACCAAACAACAAACACATGTACACCTAACAATCATTCAATACACCAAATATAATTGACCTATTACTTTAATATAGTTTCTAAGAAACAGACTTAACCGATAAAACTAAACATCGACCAATGAACCATTAAATGAGGTCATGGTCAGATGAACCATGCCAGACAGACATGTGCACCTTACAATGAATCTATGCATTACATATAGTTGACCTATTGCTTATAGTATCTAAGAAACAAACTTAACCATGAAAACTAAACATTGACCAATGAACCATGAAAATGAGGTCAAGGTTAGATGATACCTGCCAGACAGACATATACACCTTACAATCCTCCCATACAACAAATATAGTTGACCTATTGATTATAGTTCAAGAAAAATAGACCAAAACAATACCTTAACACTAAGCAATGAACCATGAAAATGAGGTCAAGGTCAAATAAAACCTGCAAGACTGACATATACATCATAAAATATTTCCATACACCAAATATAGTTGGCTTTTACATATAGTATTAAAAAAAAAGTCAAAAACTCAAAAACTTAACTTTGACCACTGAACCATGAAAATGAGATCAAGGTCAGATGACACCTGCCAGTTGGACATGTACACCTTACAATCATTCCATACACCAAATATAATAGACCTATTGCATACAGTATAAGAAAAACAGACCAAAACACATAAACTTAACTATAACCACTGAACCATGAAAATGAGGTCAAGGTCAGATGACACCTGCCAGTTGGACATGTACACATTACAATCCTTCCATGCACCAAATATACTAGACCTATTGCTTATAGTATCTGAGATATGAACTTGACCATCAAAACTTAACCTTGTTCACTGATCCATGAAATGAGGTCGAGGTCAAGTGAAAACTGTCGGATGAGCATGAAGACCTTGCAAGGTACGCACATACCAAATATATTTATCCTATTACTCATAATAAGAGATACATTAACATTTCAAAAAAATCTGAACCTTTTTTTAAAAGTAGTCACTGAACCATGAAAATGAGGTCAAGGACAATGGACATGTGACAGACGGAAACTTCGTAACATAAGACATCTATATACAAAATATGAAGCATCAAGGTCTTCCATCTTCTAAAATATAAAGCTTTTAAGAAGTTAGTTAACGCCACCAGATCACTATCCCTATGTCGAGTTTTCTGCGACAATAGTCTCAGGCTCAACAAAAATCATTTAATATAATTTCTCCCAGAACAAATTCAAAATCATATTTCAAAAAATTCGTAAGGGTTCTGTGGAACCCAGCTGTGTCTCGCCTACTTTTGCTGTTAGTTGCAGGCTCAACAAAAATGGGGAAAAAAATTATTAAAAATTTTCCTCTAGATACTATCTTTTGATTGTAAGAAGCTTCTATCCAAGTTTGGTAAAAATCCAGGATGGTTTATGAATCTTATAAATGTTTTAAAAACTTTAACTGCAGACTGTATGTAATGTTATCTAGAAGAAAAACTAAGTCCATTTATAAGTAATATACGGAAAAACAGGAAATAAATTTTTACAAAATTTCCTTCTAGATACTAGCTCTTGATCATAAACAAGCTTCTGTCCAAGTTTGGTACAAATCCAGGATAGTTTAAGAAAGTTATTAAAATTTCAAAAAACTTTAACCACAGAGTGAATGTAATGTTAACTGGCAGAAAAACTAAGTCCATTTATAAGTAAAATACGGATAAACAGGATTTTTTTAACAAAATTTACTTCTGGATACTATCTAATGATCATAAAAAATCTTCTGTCCAAGTTTGGTAGAAATCCAGGATAGTTTAAGAAAGTTATTAAAATTTCAAAAAACTTTAACCACAGAGTGAATATTTGTGGACGCCAATGCCGCAGACGACGACAGAATGTAGGATCGCTATGTCTCTCTTTTGCGACAAAAGTCGCAGGCTCAACAAAAATACAGTGTTGTCTGTCAATAAGTGTAACACTCTGTTTATACTTATGATAAAATCAATGTAGTTAGTATTCATCAGCTCCTTTTTTCAGAGAATTCACACATTCAAAATCTAAAGAAATTTACAGGAAAGTGCTTTATCACAATATATCATGATGTAATTCTATTGTTGTCTTGACTGATTTGAAAATTTTCAGTATTTTGTTCATGCTCTAACTTCCTAAATGATTTGGCCTCTCAATTTGATTCGAATTTAACTGATCATGTTAGTGTATACAAAACACTAGTCTAACGTACAAAAATTTAAACCTGGTATCATTGATGAATGTTGACGGCAATATTATTGTCTTACCCCAAATCAATGCTGCAAAATGTGAGACATATTGAGGTTAATATGGTAGTTTGGGACAAGCTTAAAGTGACAACGTAAATCAATTACCTAAACATTTAAGTTTACTTAGTTATTTTGAAAGGACAAATTTCAAAAATTTTAAATTATCACCTGACAATAGCTGTTATAGAAATATGACCTGTTTGCATTATCGGTGTGTAAATAACATGCATATTACCTGCTGGAGTTGGCGTCATGTGCTGCCCTGGAAAACACATCACATCAGGGACCTGTTCATGCAAATCTTTGCTCCCATCAAATACTACAAGAAACAATGCTCGGAACGTCATAAAGGTCTGGTGTGTTGTTAAATAAACATATTGTCCACCAAAATCCCAGAAGATAAGACGTCCAACTTTCATCTTATACTGCCCACTTTTGAGGACTTTTTCCATTTTCCTTCTTATTTCTTCTTTTGTCATTCTGGTTCTCGTTTTCTTTTCCATCTGTTTTACCGTGGAAGGTACATTGGAGGATTTCTGAAGTGGTAGAGATAGTGCTGCTGTAGACTGTTCTGAGGGCAAAGAGGAAAGTGTTGTTTTGGCATAACTAGTTGGGCTTGTATCTGAAGCCTGGTCTAACTTTTCGGTTTGTTCACTTTCTTCCTCTTCCAGAGAGGTCATTAAAACCTTATTGTACACAACATCCAGGGCATTATAAGCTTCTGAAATTATATTTAATACATCAGGCAAACCAAACCCAAAACAGGTTGTCAGAGCCGAGTGAAGTATCTAAGAAAAATCAGAATTAAAGATAAATAAATTGCTTACCCAAGCGCAGTTGGATACGACCGCAGAGGTCCAACCCTGAACAGTTGAGGCAAAAATGGACACAATATTCGCGCTTGAGACAGGTCTGAATAGGATTGTAATTAAATATTTGACACATAATAGGTTTCTGACACAGAATAACTGTGGTCAAAAAACTTAGAATTGGTTATATGATTTGAATTTATATTCAATTTTTAGCTTTTGTGCAATACACTATGCTGTTGCGAACTATACCCCTCCACCAAAAAAAAAAATTAAAAAAATTTTTACCCCCCTTTTTTTTGCTTTTGTGCAATACACTATGCTGTTGCGAATTGACCCCCCCCCCCCCGCAAAAAAAAAAAAAAAAAAAAATTTACCCCCACCCCCCCCCCCCCCCTACCCCTTTTTTGGCATAAAAAAATAATATTTAAAAAAATCTGAAATGAGAAAAAAAAAATGTTCCCCCCCCCCCCCCCCCAATTTCTTTTTTACCCCCCCTTTTCTCCAAAAAAAAAAATTCTTTCCCTGAAGATATGGTCATTATCTCAATTCAAATTTCCAATGGATATTGCAACCATAATTACCCATTTAAATACATCATAAAAGTCTTAAAAATAGAAAATGTCATACATAATCATGTCAAAATAAATATTCCTTAATCAGCATTTTTAATAGTAACTTCTAAAAATAAATTGACAGCTAATCACCTCAAGTCAATAACCTAATAAACTATTAGGACTATAACCCCCAAAATCAATCCCAATCTTCCTTTTGTGGTTATAAACCTTGTGATCAAATTTCATAGATTTCTATTAACTTATACTAAAGTTATTGTCTGGAAACCAAATGTCTTAGGACGACGCTGACGATGTGATACCAATACACGACCGCACATTGTTTTGCGGTTGTATAAAAACATATGTTATCAGGTGTAACACTCAAATGATGCTATTAAAATATTTTACAGAGAGGCATTTTAACTGATTGATTGATGAAATCATTGATTGTGGAAAATAAATGTCAATTCACTGCATGATTTTAACATTAAAAGTAAATATCAAAATATAAAAACCTTAAAATCATTTTTATAACAATAATATTAAGATTTTCATTAACAAATGATATTTAATATTGAATTAATTTGGTGCCTGAAAAGAAGTTACAAAATATATGACTACAATGTGATACTATCTAAATCAGTGCTTTAACATGTCTGCTTATAAAACGCAGCGGTCCACACAACAGCATTTTTTAAAATATGGTTAGATGTTTCTACTTGTGCCTTTTCTCACCTGGATCAATAAGAATCCAACTTTTTGTCTCAATATCAAGGCCACAGCGACCTTCAACGAGAGAAATTCCATCAGTGGGATGTCGCCCTTCTGGTATGACATCACCAGCTAACAGCTTCACAAGAGTCGATTTCCCTACTGAAAATTGGCCCGTCACCATGCATCTCATATCAAAAGATTCATAGCTTCCCTTCCCTAATAAACGATTTAACATGGCAGACTGTTGCCCTTTCTTGATGGAATCTGAAAAAAAAAAATTAAGTTTGAAATTTGGAAATTTCATCATGTATGTGAAAAAGAATGTACGCACACCTCATGAACACACTCAAAGACAATTTGTTGCTCAGCCTATAGTTTTCTATGTTGTGCTTTGTGTACTATTGTTTGTCTGTTGGTCTTTTTCTTTTTTTTTAGCCATGGCATTGTCAGTTTATTTTCGACTTATGAGTTTGAATGTCCCTTCGGTATCTTTCACCTCTCTTTTTCTCCTCCAATTTTTGTTAGATAGAATGATAGAATGACATCACCGTCACTTGACTTGTGAGAGGAAATGATAGAATGATAGTACCGTAACATGACTTGTGAGAGGAAATGATAGAATGATAGTACTGTAACCTGACTAGTGAGAGGAAATGATAGAATGACATTACCATCACATGACTTGTGAGAGGAAATGATGGAATGATAGTACCGTAACATGACTTGTGAGAGGAAATGATAGAATCATAGTACCGTAACATGACTTGCGAGAGGAAATGATAGAATGACATTACCGTCACTTGACTTGTGAGAGGAAATGATAGAATGATAGTACCGTTACATGACTTGTGAGAGGAAATGATAGAATGATAGTACCGTAACATGACTTGTGAGAGGAAATGATAGAATGATAGTACCGTAACCAGACTTGTGAGAGGAAATGATAGAATCATATTACTGTAACATGACTTGTGAGAGGAAATGATAGAATGACATTACCGTCACTTGACTTGTGAGAGGAAATGATAGAATGATAGTACCGTGACATGACTTGTGAGAGGAAATGATAGAATCATAGTACCGTAACATGACTTGTGAGAGGAAATGATAGAATGACATTACCGTCACATGACTTGTGAGAGGAAATGATAGAAATATAGTACCGTAACATGACTTGTGAGAGGAAATGATAGAATGATAGTACCGTAACCTGACTTGTGAGAGGAAATGATAGAATGATAGTACCTTTACCTGACTTGTGAGAGGAAATGATAGTACCGTAACATGACTTGTGAGAGGAAATGATAGAAACATAGTACCGTAACATGACTTGTGAGAGGAAATGATAGAATGACATTACCGTCACTTGACTGGTGAGAGGAAATGTCAGAATGATAGTACCATAACATGACTTGTGAGAGGAAATGATAGAATGATAGTACCGTAACATGACTTGTGAGAGGAAATGATAGAATGACATTACCGTAACATGACTTGTGAGAGGAAATAATAGAATGATAGTACCGTCACATGACTTGTGAGACGAAATGTTAGAATGATAGTACCGTAACCTGACTTGTGAGAGGAAATGATAGAATGATAGTACCGTAACATGACTTGTGAGAGGAAATGATAGAATGATAGTACCGTAACCTGACTTGTGAGAGGAAATGATAGAATGATAGTACCGTAACTTGACTTATGAGAGGAAATGATAGAATGATAGTACCGTAACATGACTTGTGAGAGGAAATGATAGAATGATAGTACCGTAACATGACTTGTGAGAGGAAATGATAGAATGATAGAACCGTAACCTGACTTGTGAGAGGAAATGATAGAACCGTAACATGACTTATGAGAGGAAATGATAGAGTGACATTACCGTCACATGACTTGTGAGAGGAAATGATAGAATGATAGTACCGTAACATGACTTGTGAGAGGAAATGATAGAATGATAGTACCGTAACATGACTTGTGAGAGGAAATGATAGAATGAAAGTACCTCAACCTGACTTGTGGATGGAAATGATAGTACCGTAACATGACTTGTGAGAGGAAATGATAGAATGATAGTACCGTAACCGTGACTTGTGAGAGGAAATAATAGTACTTTACCTGACTTGTGAGAGGAAATGATAGAATGACATTACCGTCACATGACTTGTGAGAGGAACTGATGGAATGATAGTACCGTAACATGACTTGTGAGAGGAAATGATAGAATCACAGTACCGTAACATGACTTGTGAGAGGAAATGATAGAATGACATTACCGTCACTTGACTTGTGAGAGGATATGAAAGAACCGTTACATGACTTGTGAGAGGAAATGATAGAATGATAGTACCGTAACATGACTTGTGAGAGGAAATGATAGAATGATAGTACCATAACATGACTTGTGAGAGGAAATGATAGAATCATAGTACCGTAACATGACTTGTGAGAGGAAATGATAGAATGACATTACAGTCACTTGACTTGTGAGAGGAAATGATAGAATGATAGTACCGTAACATGACTTGTGAGAGGAAATGATAGAACCGTAACATGACTTGTGAGAGGAAATGATAGAACCGTAACATGACTTGTGAGAGGAAATGATAGAACCGTAACATGACTTGTGAGAGGAAATGATAGAATGATAGTACCGTAACATGACTTATGAGAGGAAATGATAGAATGACATTACCGTCACTTGACTTGTGAGCGGAAATGATAGAATGATAGTACTGTAACATGACTTGTGAGAGGAAATGATAGAATGATAGTACCATAACATGATTTGTGAGAGGAAATGATAGAATGACATTACCGTAACATGACTTGTGAGAGGAAATGATAGAATGATAGTACCGTCACATGACTTGTGAGAGGAAATGTTAGAATGATAGTACCGTAACATGACTTGTGAGAGGAATTGATAGAATGATAGTACCGTAACATGACTTGTGAGAGGAAATGATAGAATGATAGTACCGTAACATGACTTGTGAGAGGAAATGATAGAACCGTAACATGACTTGTGAGAGGAAATGATAGAATGACATTACTGTAACATGACTTGTGAGAGGAAATGATAGAATGATAGTACCGTAACATGACTTGTGAGAGGAAATGATAGAATGATAGTACCATAACATGATTTGTGAGAGGAAATGATAGAATGACATTACCGTAACATGACTTGTGAGAGGAAATGATAGAATGATAGTACCGTCACATGACTTGTGAGAGGAAATGTTAGAATGATAGTACCGTAACATGACTTGTGAGAGGAATTGATAGAATGATAGTACCGTAAAATGACTTGTGAGAGGAAATGATAGAATGATAGTACCGTAACCTGACTTGTGAGAGGAAATGATAGAACCGTAACATGACTTGTGAGAGGAAATGATAGAATGATATTACTGTAACATGACTTGTGAGAGGAAATGATAGAATGATAGTACCGTAACATGACTTGTGAGAGGAAATGATAGAATGATAGTACCTTAACCTGACTTGTGAGAGGAAATGATAGTACCGTAACATGACTTGTGAGAGGAAATGATATAATGATAGTACTGTAACCGTGACTTGTGAGAGGAAATAATAGTACTTTACCTGACTTGTGAGAGGAAATGATAGAATGACATTACCGTCACATGACTTGTGAGAGGAACTGATCGAATGATAGTACCGTAACATGACTTGTGAGAGGAAATGATAGAATCATAGTACCGTAACATGACTTGTGAGAGGAAATGATAGAATGACATTACCGTCACTTGGCTTGTGAGAGGAAATGATAGAACCGTAACATGACTTGTGAGAGGAAATGATAGAATGATAGTACCGTAACATGACTTGTGAGAGGAAATGATAGAATGATAGTACCATAACATGACTTGTGAGAGGAAATGATAGAATCATAGTACCGTAACATGACTTGTGAGAGGAAATGATAGAATGACATTACCATCACATGACTTGTGAGAGGAAATGATGGAATGATAGTACCGTAACATGACTTGTGAGAGGAAATGATAGAATCATATTACTGTAACATGATTTGTGAGAGGAAATGATAGAATCATAGTACCGTAACATGACTTGTGAGAGGAAATGATAGAATGACATTACCGTCACTTGACTTGTGAGAGGAAATGATAGAATGATAGTACCGTGACATGACTTGTGAGAGGAAATGATAGAATCATAGTACCGTAACATGACTTGTGAGAGGAAATGATAGAATGACATTACCGTCACATGACTTGTGAGAGGAAATGATAGAAATATAGTACCGTAACATGACTTGTGAGAGGAAATGATAGAATGATAGTACCGTAACCTGACTTGTGAGAGGAAATGATAGAATGATAGTACCTTTACCTGACTTGTGAGAGGAAATGATAGTACCGTAACATGACTTGTGAGAGGAAATGATAGAAACATAGTACCGTAACATGACTTGTGAGAGGAAATGATAGAATGACATTACCGTCACTTGACTGGTGAGAGGAAATGTCAGAATGATAGTACCATAACATGACTTGTGAGAGGAAATGATAGAATGATAGTACCGTAACATGACTTGTGAGAGGAAATGATAGAATGACATTACCGTAACATGACTTGTGAGAGGAAATAATAGAATGATAGTACCGTCACATGACTTGTGAGACGAAATGTTAGAATGATAGTACCGTAACCTGACTTGTGAGAGGAAATGATAGAATGATAGTACCGTAACATGACTTGTGAGAGGAAATGATAGAATGATAGTACCGTAACCTGACTTGTGAGAGGAAATGATAGAATGATAGTACCGTAACATGACTTATGAGAGGAAATGATAGAATGATAGTACCGTAACATGACTTGTGAGAGGAAATGATAGAATGATAGTACCGTAACATGACTTGTGAGAGGAAATGATAGAATGATAGAACCGTAACCTGACTTATGAGAGGAAATGATAGAACCGTAACATGACTTGTGAGAGGAAATGATAGAGTGACATTACCGTCACATGACTTGTGAGAGGAAATGATAGAATGATAGTACCGTAACATGACTTGTGAGAGGAAATGATAGAATGATAGTACCGTAACATGACTTGTGAGAGGAAATGATAGAATGAAAGTACCTCAACCTGACTTGTGGATGGAAATGATAGTACCGTAACATGACTTGTGAGAGGAAATGATAGAATGATAGTACCGTAACCGTGACTTGTGAGAGGAAATAATAGTACTTTACCTGACTTG